AGTGAAGATGATATCTTTTTTTAGCACTTGATAATGGCTCAATTTTTAGTCAATTGCATATGTGATGTACTATACCCAAGCTTCGAACTCCGAATTAAAAATTGAATTTCAAAACATTGATTGTAATGCATGACAGTGTGTTTTGCTCTAGAGATAACACTAGCAAACTTTCAATAATGGAAGGTGGAAACTAGAAACTTCACCTTTTTTTTACCAAATATGAACCAAGGCATTCCTTTTTATGACTTTGTAGCTCATCGGTGCGCTTCCTTATTCAATCTCAAAAAGATTTGCTTAATTTGGTCATGGTTCACAGTGAGATTGCATTCACTTGATGACCTCTACTGTTCAACTTAATACTAAATATATGGATTCAGATGCAACAGTTAATTTACCATAAAAAGATAGGAACGGAAATTTTCTACCACTAGCGATCAACGCATCCTTAAGTTCACCCGGGAACACATTGCTCTTTTCTTTTTTGAGAGGCAGAAAACTTTAACCGACCAAGACTTCTTACATAGTTTTCAAGCTTACCAGTTCCTTCTTTTGGCTTTCGCAATTACTTCCTTATGCTTGGAAAAGTTTTATCGCAACAGTCTACATAAGGGGCAATGCCTAACATAATTTTTGCAAGCAACATCAGCATAACTTTCAGCCAATAAGGCTAGTACATTAACCAGCAGCTGCTAGCAACTAGCAATTTGCTCTTCCTATGCTTTATTTGGCATAGCACTAGGTGGTGGTGGAGTTAAGTCGAATGTCTCCAGTTAGTTCGATAGCTTGGCACACTTACAGAAAATAATTCATATCTCATTGAAAGAGTGTCTAAAACAAAAGTTCCTTAGTTCTTCGGAAATTATAAATAAAGAACAACAACATATCCAATAATGGGAGCAAAATACCTTCTGTACCATCTCAAGTAAGATTTTAAATTTTCGTTTTAGAGTCTACTGCGGGACCAATCTAGAATACAAAAAGCAATTAAAAAAAGGAAGAAGATAACAAGAAGTTGCAATGGCAACTTGTTGCAATAACGGCTGAAACAAGAATCAAGTTGCAACAAAGGCTGAAACCAAAACCAAAGCTTGCACGTTGGCAACTTGCAATGAATCAAGCATTTTGATTGGCTGAAAGTTTGGCAAGTTTTCCTATTTAAGTTCTCCTATAAATAGGAGTTCAAATCCTTCCATTTATGTACACCAAAACGAGAGAGAAGCAACTGGAGTTAGAGATTAATCCACGGATTGTAATCTGTAAGATAAATAGTGAGTGTGAGTAATATTATAGTGAGATGTTTAAATAAAGAGTGTTATTTCTTTCGAAGTTGTAATAGTCTCATGACACTACTAAGTTGTAATATTATAATGAAAATATTCACTAATTTGGTCGTTTTTTCGAAATATTTTAATTTTTAATTTTTTTTACGAAACCGAGCAACTTTGATCGGTTTTCTTTGGCGCAAAAATGCGGGAAACTATTTTTGAGTCTCGCAAAATTTATTTTTCAAAAAACCAACCAACTTTGGTCGGTTTTTGCAATTAAAATAAATAAAAATTAATATTAAAAAAACCGACCAACTTTGGTCGGTAATTTTATTTTTTAATAAAACCGACCAACTTTGGTCGGTTATTTTCGTGCGAAAATACAATTAAAGAGTATAAAAAAAAGATAATCTTAAAACAAAATGCACCAATGGTCTAGTGGTAGAATAGTGTCATGTCACAGTACACACCCCGGTTCGATTCCCCGACGGTGAATCTTTTGATTATATAATTAAAAAACTGACCAACTTTGGTCGGTTTTTTTTTTTGGCAATATTTTTTTTGAATTTAATTTACTGACCAACTTTGGTCGGTATATTAAAACGACCATCAAAATACCATCCAAGCGTATTTGACCGTGTTTTGGTCGGTATTTGGCCATAACCCACCAAAGTTGGTCGGTTTTTTGGTCGGTATTTACCGGATTTCTAGTAGTGATTGCTCTACCCCGGGTATTGTATTTTACCCCGTTAAAAGCTTTGGTGTCTTTGTTACTCTCTTGTGTTATTGTTATATATCGTGGATATTATTTCTGGACGAGATATTATTTTATTCCAACATCTACCATGTTAGATTATGCATATTATGTGCCCTCACAAAAAAGAATTATATCTCGGTGTTGGAACGTCTAAATCGCAAGCCACTTAATTCTAATGATGCTAGAAGGACTACAACTTTCACAGTCAAACACCTTCTGGATCGAATGAAATTATTATTTTTATTTGATCAATGCATCTGGCCTACTGATTGTGTACTCTTTGGTTCAAAAATCATATCTCGAGATATATGAGTGTCCAAACCATGAACCGTTTGTGTCATGAAAAGAAGACGCGGAGAGTGATAACATATACAAAGCTCGAAGGTCCATCCTCTTTGATCCAATTATAGTGAATTTTGAATTAAGTTCTAAAATCAGGAGGATTGTTCGGGCAGCAATTTTTTTTTTTTTTTTTTTTTTTTTGCAGGTTTGGCGAGAGAAAACTTGATTCATCCTCATCCTTGTGGCTTGGGTGACAGAAGTACATGAAGAACTTCTATTTGTAATCTTTGGCAAGAAAGCCCATGGAGCATCTCTCATCGTCAAGCCTGGGCAGGGGACAACCCCTTCTTGCAACTTGGTGAAGAAGTTCATGGAGCGTCTTATCCTTCAAGTTTTGGTGTGGACCAACCCCCTCTTGAAACTTAGTGTAGAAGTTTATGGATATTTCTATCCTTCAAGCTTTGGCGTGGAGTAACTCTTTCTTGCAACTTGATAAAGAAGTACATGGAGCGTTTTATCTTTTATGTTTTGATGGAACAATTTGGGGAGCATTCCATTCTTCAAGATTTGGTAGAGAAGTGTATATCGTAATGTTCACCATCCGTATTTGAAGCGTCGTGTCACTAACACCATGTGTTGCACTTTTATTTTTCTTATCTTGCAGGTTTAAGAAGGAGCACAAATGGTCTCGATATCATATCAAGAAGATGTAAGTGATGTCTTCATGATTGGCGATGAACCACTTGGTGCACCACCTTTCTAGTAATTTTGGCACAGACAAATTAGAACATTCCTTTTTATGGCGTGTGTAGAGAAAGTACATGTGAATATCATCCTTGTGGCATGGCGAGATTGACACATAGAGTAGCTCTCTCCAATCTTGGCTTGCAAGTATGTGGGCATCCCTCTTTTGCATCTTGATGAGAGGGATACTTGGAGTAACTCTTTTCCATCACAGGCAATAAACTACACATAACCCATCTTTCAAGCTTGTGGTGGGGGGAATTGTATGGAGTGCATCAACCTCCAAAGTTCGGCATGGAACAACCTTTTTTTGCACCTTCCAAAAGAAATGCATAGAGCATCCCTTCCTTTTGGCTACGAGACATGACTTGATCGAGAAGATGATTCCCCCCTCCCCCCCCCCCCCCCCCCCCCCCCCCTCCCCCGGCATGGTAAAGGGCATGACTCACCAAGACTCATATACTATGAAGAAGTTGATGTAAGTAGATCGTGATGGCAAATCATTCCATCCTCAAAGTTTGCACAAGCTCATCTTTGTTTTTTTTTCTTTCTCAAGTGCATGAATGGCTGCCTCCGAGAAGTCTTTATCCCTAAGTTTAGACATCCGAACCGATGGGATGTTTCGGCGCCCTATGCTGTTTACGTCACGGTGATGACGTCAAGATAAATCGGGATAAAGATCGAGGACTCAATTCGTTTCTTGTCATTATACTCCAAAAAACGAGGGGACTATCGGTATACGGTTAAAATCAGGCTCATTCGATTTCACTAATTGGCGGGACCAGAGGGATAGCTCGAGGTTCGGTCTCGTAGTATATCAGACTGAGATATGAGGATAAGACATCAAGTCCGGGATTCGAGGTACCTGTCGAGGTTGAGGCCGGTGATGATCGACACCAAACAGGATAGACGTCGAGCAATATCGAAGATAGAATAATAACGGAAATGTGAGATATACGTGAATGGCCGAGAATCTCGACGTAAATCTCGAAACAAATCAAGGACGGTTATTTAGCTAATCATGGGATTTCCTTCTGTAATTAGAATTGTACTGTGAATAGGATTCCTCTACTATATAAAGAGGGTCTTAACCATTTGTAATGATCTTATATTCACGCATATCAAAGCAATACAATAATCTTTTCTCTTATACTCTCTTGTTCATAAGTTGGTTTCATAATTTTACTCTCACTCACTCAGTTCGATGGCGACCTAGCTTGAGGGCTGAATTGCATTTCAATACTGGTTTGCTTTACTTTGCTGTTCATTTCTATTATTAATCACCATATTTATTAATTGGTGCTAGGTGAAATTACATATCCTTAAAATCACTTATAAGTTTAATTGTTATCCGATTTTAAGGGTATACATTAATTACGACCATTTGTCTGCATCTAAGATGTGCATTTGATGACTTCAAGTTCCTATATCATTTAGCTTATGTGGAATGTATCTTTATGCATAAGGCTAGTTTTAGAACTTAAGAAGCCAATTCTTTTTCTTGGAAAAAAAATATATTTCAAACTAGCCTATACCAAATAAAAATCACTATACTCCCTATCTCATCTTATAACATATTGCGGTTAGTAGTACTTTTTGTATGACATGTCTATTGGTAAATTTTCTATTCGAACACCAAGGACTTAATTTCCAAATTCATAAAATTAGATAGGTTAACCCTTGTATTTCGAATCACATCACTAGTTTTTGAATAGAGGGAGTATTTCTTAGGGAGTGGTTTGAATTGAACTGAGCAGTGATCTGGTCTTAGCGTTTCTCTCAGTCCTGCTATTTTATCTTTTGTTATTACGTAATAGGGAAAAACTCCTTGTTCTACTTCAGTGAATATTTCAAAAGGCACACGCTCTTCCTGAACCAGAGGATATGCCTTGAATAAAAGAAGAAAAATATCAGTCAATTTGGATGTTTGTAGAAAGATATTTTCCCTGGGATGGAAACATAAGTGTAGGCTAATAGTTCATTGAGTCAATTCTTATCTCTCCAAGCTTCTTATTTTTGTTCGAAAAGATCTCCTCTCAAAAGCTATTAAAAAGATATAAACAAGAGCGCCAAGTTCTCTGCATAGCAATGGCTTCCATTCCTACCCCATCACATTCTATTCAAACCACTAATACATCAAGAACCAACTTCCCTTGTCTACCAATAAATAAACCAATTCACAAGAAGTTACATATTTGCTTGAATAAATCTTCTCTTAGAGTAGAGTCTTGTAGCACTCCAAATTATAATGACGTTGTGGTGGATGAAGAAATGGATAAGATTAGACGGCTACAAAACGGATCCGACGTTCGTGGGGTTGCTTTGCAAGGTGAAAAAGGTCGAAGTGTGGATCTTACTCCGCCTGCTGTTGAGGCAATAGCAGAAAGTTTTGGTGAATGGGTGATTAGTGGATTGGAGAAGGAGAAAGATGTTAGGGTTTCTCTTGGAAAAGACCCTCGAATTTCGGGTAATATGTTGAGTGTGGCTGTATTTGCAGGGCTTTCTAGGGCAGGTTGCGTGGTGTTTGACATGGGACTTGCAACAACACCAGCTTGTTTCATGAGCACTATTCTTCCTCCATTTGAATATGATGCCTCAATAATGGTATAATATCTCTGCAATTCTGATGGATTGTATTACTGTTTCTCCGTCTTAGGGATTTTTTATTAATTTAATAGATATACACTAAGGGTACAAAAAATTTACCTTAATTGATTGATACCAAAATGAAGATTGCTACAACACCCTTGTTGGTTGATTTGTTGAATTGTTATTTTTATCAATTTCAGCCTTTGACTGAAAACTTCAGCTTTGTTATATTAAACTTAAACTTAGATTAGATTCTTCCAAAATTGAAAAAATAAAAGCTAAAGTATTGTGTTATGCATGCAGATGACTGCATCTCACTTACCCTACACTCGAAACGGTCTTAAATTCTTCACGAAAAAGGGAGGTTTAACGTCACCAGAAGTGGAGGAAATATGCGATAAAGCAGCTCGAAAATACGCAAACAGGTTTGCTAAAGTATCAACGACACTGCCAATAACGCCGACAATGGTGGATTTTATGAGCGCTTACGCGGAGCATCTCCGAGATATTATAAAGGACAGAGTGAACCACCCTTTCCATTATGCCACTCCTCTCACAGGATTTCAGGTTCTTCTCTTCTTCTTTCTCAACTCTTTCAAACTTCCTCTTCATTATAGGCTGTTTTTGTCGTTGTCAACATTTGTTGGAGTACTTTAGTTTGTTTTGTTTTCTTGCCTGCATGAGAGTAAGCCATGCATGCATAGCCACAGCAACCTTATCTAAGTACAGGGCCATATTGACCATAAAAGCTAAGGATTCGTTTTCATTAATTAAAAGCTGGACATGTATTTGGGCCTAGATCCCTTTTTGGGTTTTCTGCGGACCGTCACTCTAAGGCCCGTTTCAACATCAAATACTATTGAGACAAAAATGTGTAAATGGCATGGGGTAGCCACTATTTAAGGTGGTATTTATGTTTTATCCAGCACTTCTAATGTTGAGGAAAAATAGCCACTACTCTATTAAAATTAATATGAAAAGACATTTTTACCCTTTCTTCCATTGCTTTTCTTCTCAAACCCTCTTTTCTCACTCTGCATCGAATACATGGGCTCTGGTTTCTTGATTAAGAACTAAACAAGCTGGGCGTGGCTTTTGCAGAGGAAGTTAGTTCATTTAATCTATAATTTTTAGCTGGAAAATACAAGAAAAGGCAAAGGAAAGCACAAACAAGTGTTTCTCTTTTCTCTGTTTGAGATATTCACAAGCAAAAATTAGTGCAAATGGGGTCTTTGTTGAAAGAGGTTTTGAAGACACTTTGTGGAGTGAATTAATGGTCTTAGGCTGTTTTTTGGAAGCGGAAGATCAGTTGCCAGAATACCAATAGAGTTTTCATATTTAAATGAATCAAATTCTCTTTTGTTTTTTATGTGAGTCCTGAACTTAGAGTTGGAAGTTCTAAAATTAAGGATATTTGGTCCTTAACTTAGAGTTGCAAACATAGAAATTAAGGACATACAATCCTTAACTTAGAGTTACAAGTTCAAAGGTTAAGGACACTTGGTCCTGAAATTAGACTAACAAGCTCAAAAGTTAAGGACTATAGGTCCTGAACTTACAGTTACAAGTTCAAAAGTTAAGGACAATAGGTCCTAAAGTTTGAGTTCCAAGTTCAAAAGTTAAGGATAATAGGTCCTTAACTTTGAATTTCAAGTTCAAAAGTTAAGCACACTTGGTCCTTAACTTTGAGTTACAAGTTAAAAAGTTAAGGACACTTGGTCCTGAACTTCAAGTTTCAAGTTCAAAAATTAAGGACACTTGGTCCTTAACTTTGAGTTCCAAGTTCAAAAGCTAAGGACATTTGGTCCTGAACTTTGAATTCCAAGTTCAAAAGTTAAGGACACTTAGTCCTGAACTTAGACTTACAAGTTCAAAAGTTAAGGACACTTGGTCCTGAACTTAGACTAACAAGTTCAAAAGTTAAGGATTACAGTTACAAGATCAAAAGTTAAGGACAATAGGTTCTTAACTTTGACTTACAAGTTCAAAAGTTAAGGACGTTTGGTCCTGAAGTTTGAGTTCCAAGTTCAAAAGTGAAGGACATGTAGTTGTGAAAGCCTGAAGTTAAGTTCAAAAGTTAAGGACATATAGTCCTGAACTTAGAGTTCCAAGTTCAAAAGTTAAGGACATGTAGTCCTGAAGTCCTGAACTTAGAGTTCTAAGTTCAAAAGTTAAGGACATATAGTCCTGAAGTCCTAAAGTTAAGTTCAAAAGTTAAGGACATGAGTAGAAAGGTATTTTCGTCAGGGCAGTTAAAGTTTATTAAAGCAGTGGCTAAAGACTAAAAACATTTTAAACAGTGGCTTAAAAGTAACATGTGTTATTAGTGGCTAACCGTGCACTTCTCCCACAAAAATCAGGTGGCCACCCGCTGCAAACTTATAACATCCGGTAGCCATAAGATTTCAAATACATTTAGTAGCCTAAAAGACACTAGAATGGTTAGTATATGCAAATCCTAAAACACACTAACTCCAAAAATACTGTAACTACACCTCATCCCATCCACATTTCCTCTTCCACCATATATCAAACATCCGCACAAAAAGACTCCACCACTATCCCGCTGCACTGCACCGCAATCCAGGGTGGATCTATATAGAAGGATCGAGGTGCCATGCCACCCGGACACTCGTAATATATATAACACAAGTATGCCACCCATAGTAATAAAACAGGGCAAGGGGCCAATGGTTGTAAGTTTGGTTTTCCTCTTTATATGGGAGTTCGAATCCTAACTGATACACTGTTTAATGCTTTTTCCGCATGCTGCCTTTAGTATTCAAACCAACGACCGAATTGACAATGTGTGCACCGTAGCATGTTGGTTGGTGGCTTGATTTACTTATAGTGGTTGGGAGTTCGAACCACATATGTGATATTTTTTTGGCAAATATCTAGCGGAACCTTTATTGTTAAAAAATTATAGTTAAATAGAATTGAACCCCAGACCCTTCCTAATTAACTTAAGACTCAACTAACAAATATGCTATATGTCACCATCGTTGCCACCCATACCCCTATTAGAATGTATACAAAATAAACTTTTACAAAAAAAAAAAATCATAGCACAGATATTAAACCTCCCTTCAGCAAGTATAAGAAAATAAATCAATTAAATTCAAAGAATAAAATCTAAAAGAGAAAAGGAAAAAAAGAGAAAAGGAAAAAAAGAGTAAGAGTGTTTGTCAGAGAAAGATCATACACTTTACATACACATGAAATAATGATTATGCATTTTATATACATATTATAAGTTCTACATGCGCTGCATATAAGTATTGTAAAGTTCCGTAGCCTCTCGAAGATAAGTACACATGTCTCTGTACCGATCCGTAAGACTCTACTAAATTTTCTTATGACTGGTAGCACGTATGAACCTAGAGCTCCGATACTAACTTGTCACTACCCAAAATCTCCCCCGAGGAATCATGATGGCACCTAATCCTTATGACTAGGTAAGCCTAACACTTAGTGAATTAATAATTGATTTTAACCATCCAACTATTAAACATGAACAAGAATTTTTTAAACAAAGCCAACAATCCAAAGTAGATATATAACATCCCAAAAACCGGTAGTACAAGTCATACGCTCTACTGAGTTCACTAAAAAATCTCTAAATACAACTGTATAAATAAACAATACGAAGTAAAGTTCAGAAGGTGATTCCAAGGCCTGCGAACGCGACGATAGGTATGCCTTGAATTCTCCACAACAATACTCAATCAACTACCAAATGACCAATACGCTCTAAGGTACCTGGATCTGCGAAAAATATGCAGCAAGCGTAGAATGAGTACACCACAACGATACCTAATAAGTATCTAGACTAACATCGGTAGAGTAGTGATGGGGAACAGTCAAGACACTTACTAGACATAATAACTTGTACAAGTATGAATATAAAACTAAGAGGGAACAATATCAATATAAAGCTAAACATAGTTAGAATAAAAATACTGTTTACTGTGAAAATGGTAACAACAATTAAATTTATAAATGAGATTCTAAAATTACGTGATCTATTTTTATGCTAGTTGTTAGAGCAGATGATGCTAGGAATATGAAGTTTAATGATGAAATTCAAGCTAAAACTAGGTAGTAATCAAACCGAGGGGCCTGCTGCCTAGGTATAGGACTGGTCGATGGAGGACCTTGGGGTCGATACCTGGGCTCGATCTTGAGCTATCAGGGGTGGTCAAGAATGGGATAACAGTTAAGATATGATTAAACAAGGCTCTTTATGGCCAATATCAGGCAATAGATGAAGAACAAGTAAGAAAGCTATAAATGCTAAAGTGGCCTCGAGCGAGAGAGAACGAACAAATTAGAAAGAAGAGAGAGAAAGAGATATTATTGATCTTGTGGAGAAATAGTTGGAGAAACATCAGCCCTTTACAAAGTGGCATGGATTCCCCTTATATAGGAGATGGGATATAATATAGTACAGAGTGCATTAAATGCAAAGACTCGGAGATGGGACGGCTAGGCACGGTGCTAGTGTTTGCTGATTCTAGCTGCTCGCCTCGGGGATCCCCTGTCCTTGGAACCTTCGTTAGTCGCAGACGAATTCCCCATCCTCGGAATCTTTGTTGGGCCGCGGACGAACTTCGAAGGAAGGAGCTTGATCGTAATCCTACAGCCTCGAGGTGCTGATATGACTCCCCGAATGTACCTTAGCTGCGAGAAATAGACCCATCTGATTTCACCGCATACAGATAGTCTCCGTGTTTCCTAGAGTGAAGCAATAGGAAGCGATATTGATTGTCGTCTCAAGGTTATCATTGCCGTGACGTCAACCGTTTAAGAGCATTAAATGCCATGCCCTAGAGAACCGTTCAAAGCCGCCGTCAGATGCGGTAATCGAGAAAACCCACGAACTGCCATCGGCTCGTCTTTTCTGCTTCCCCAGCAATTCCTATAAATGCACCGGTTGCTTGATACTTCCCATTTTCACACCACTTATAAGCCCACGAGTCAGAATTTTGTATTTGGCACTCTTTCATCTTTTCATAGAAAGATTTGTACCATTGACATGGCTAGGACTTCCAGGACGGTTCCCCGATGGAACGACATTGCATCGTCGTCCCGATCACCTAAGGAAGAAACCAGATCGATTCTCACTTTGGAACAATGTACCCCACCTGATCTTGGCACGTCAAGGGATTTTAATGCCGATACTACGTCATCTATGCCGGGTTGGTAGAAGCATGTGTATCGATACGTTAGCGTTGTGATCGATATTAGCAAAGTGAGGGAGGACTGCCAATGGAGCAAGGCAATGGAGAACGATAATATTGCTGACTTTAAGGCTAGCTTCCTTTATGTATACACTTCTGCGACTGATACTAGGTGACACTTGGTGAGATCTACCCTTCTGGAGGATAGTGTTGATGCTTAGACATTTCACCGAAGGAGTTGAAGGTGAGGTTTTTACCCTTATTCATCTGATCGGAATGTACATCCCTCGATTGTATCGAGACTTAATCAAGCTCCGCCATCGGTCTAAAAAATCTTTTTTCACGAGCGTCGATGAGAGAAAAGACCAAGGATGGATGAGCAGGATTATCCGAGTTAGGATCTCGAATTTTATCCCGGCCTAGAGGATGCCCTTTTCGGAGAGGTGGAACGCCCGACGTAAGCGATTTTCCCTTTAGCCGCTTTTTGAATACTCTTTCGTTTGACATAATAATCTCTTTGTGCTTTCTACAGCCGCTGCTTGGCATCCAGAGGTGGTCCCAGATTTGTCGGGATGGATCGGGTGATTGAGCGAGAAATTCTCATACCGCTTCCGGTCTTGGACCGTCCTAGCTAAGAAGCATTGGGTGGACAAGAATCATGGTGAGGTTCCTTTATTGCATATGCTTAGTATTTTGTGTTTCCTTCTGAGCCCTTAGCGAAAGCTTATCGCGGTTATTGTGCTGGCGCAGGTCTTGGCGAGAATATGCATATGAGGCCGCCTCCTGATAGAGAAGCAGGAGCCTTGGATCCTGGCACGAGAAAGAAGAGGAAAAGTAGGGCAGCCATTATCTGTTCTACGGCAAAGAAAACCAAGTCACTCGAGCGCCAAGCCACTATCGGGACTGCTGCTCTAACCTCAGGGTCGAATCCTAATACCGAAGGAGAGGACGATGATGGAAGTCCGTTAAGGAGGAGAACAAGGCCAAGTGCGAGAGACTTGCAGGTGCCCTGGTCTGAGGCTGCTAAATCTGAAACAGTAGGCTCTGGTCGGGCTCATGGGCCGGGGCTTCTTGAAGAGGACATTGATGTAGCTTCGATTCACGCAGTCAGATTTGATGCGGCCTCTACTAGGGGGACTGTTGGTGTCAATCCTGAGGGAACAGAGCTCGGGTCCTTCTAGGAACGTGGGTTGCCACTTGGAGAAATCAGCGAACTGAACGACTTCATTTCGAACTTTCCGGTTTCATCAGGGGAACTGCGGGATGCCCACGGGATGATTGGCGCCACAGCTGGGACTCCTCCCAAGGGGGGAGACTTTATTGCCAACATTTTCGATGGCGTTATCGACAGATCTTATCTCAATATTCCTGGCATCGTTAAAGCGGCGGAGAAGTCCATGCAGCAGGTGATAGTTATTCCTTGCGCATTTCTTCCGTACTAAGGCGTCATTCATCATCTTTCTAACTTTTTTGTTGTGCCGTAGTGTAAGGAGATGTAAGACCATGCCATTCTCCAGCTTCGTGAGGAGCTTTCTTATCATGAAAAGGAGCGTAAGAAAGTTATTTCAAAGCTGCAGGATTCGGAGGCTCGCTCTGCCTGGGGAGATAAAGAGCTAGGAGAGCTTCGGGCCGCTTTGGAGACGGTGCTCTGGGAGAAGGCCAATCATGCTGTTCAGGTATTTTGCCTTACTCGTACCCGACTTTTTACCCAGTATTCACACACGTTCCGTATTCGTATATTCATTAACTTGCTCTTCTCCTATAGGTCAAGCAGAGTGGCTCACGGATTAATCAGTTGAATACGGAGATCTCCGGGGTGAGAGAGCGAAACAAAATAGTGGCCGGGGAATTGGTGACATATCGGGATCTTCTCACGGATACTCGTAGGGAGATTGCCGCTTTGACCGCGGCTAAGTCCGAGGACGAACGACATGCCGCTACTTATCGGGAGGATGCGACCACATCGCATATAATGGCTCGAGACATATCCATGGCAGTTGAGCAAAAACTAATCCGAGCTATCGAGCATGCCAGAGCGGAGGAGAAGAGAGAGACCCTGGAGGAACTCGGGGCTAGAGGCATCGACCTGTCGGATGATCTTAAAGAGGCCCGTGCAGTGGAGGAAAGATTGGAGCTTTTGATTTCCCTCGATAAGGGCGAAGACAATAGTGACGAGGAGTAGTCTCCGAGTCCCCCTTTTGCTTTGTATGCTGCCCCCTGGGAAATGGACAGTGTAAATGTGTTTTTTTTTTGTCAATGTATAAAAGGAGATTTCATTCTGTCAGTCCTTTTCCTTTCCCTTTTGCTTTTGTGTCCCAGCATCGACCCTTTGGGGCCTTCTATCTGGACAAACCGGGGCCTTGAAACTGTCCATGTCCCGTGGTTGAGTCGATAGCTCCTCTCGAACCGATGTTTATGACGCCGGGGGTCTCCCGAGGTCCCGCAGTTTTCTGAGACATGTGGGAGACGGAGTGACTCTGCCAGTACACTCCCCTAGGAGAGGGTGATGTTAACGTGGCCAGAATTAATTGGCCCTCTTGGGTAGGCGGGTAGTTGTCGTTTTGCCTCTATATATTTTCTCATCTGTCTCTTAAGCGGCGATTTTGCAGTTCTTGATAAGCCTATCTCCTCTGCAGAGCCTGGCGCTTTGTGCTAGTCCTTCTACTTCCCTATTTTAGAGAATTTTTGCTTGGATCCTCATCTTCTCCCCCCTATTCTGCCATAGTCATGGCCGCTGCTTTGACGCCTTATTATCGGTCGGAGAGGAGTCTCTCTTGTGCTACACATTCGGACGGCACCATCGGCTCGCCTATGATGTCGGGAGAGTGAGGCTCGGTGTACCCTGCCTCGAGGAGGGCTATCATACCGGGGAAACCTCCCAATGTTCTTGGCCATCCAGAGCATGTGTCGAGGATTATTTTATCGGCGAGGGAGGTAAACCTCGAGATGATCATAAAAAAATGTGGATGGGGGGAAGGCGCGATTTTGCAAGTACCTTCCCCCGAGGAGAGTGTCATGACATATTTTGAGGGATTCTTGAGTGTGTATATTCATGTTCTTGTGCCGGGTTCCCCGGATCGGGTTGTGCTTGATTTCTGTAGAAGATATCAAGTAACGTTGGCGCAGGTTCATCCTTTTCTTTGGAGAATAGTCTAGTCGATGAGATATTTTGTTGACAAGGTCGGGATAGAATTTACCCTCAGCTACCTCGTGAGGTTGTACCAGCCATTACTCTATCGGGGCCTAATTGCTCTTCAGCGTAGATCCACCCGAGCTCCTGTAATCGGAAGCGAGGAGGATGAGGACCGTGGATGGACGAATCGGTTCGTTCGAATCTGAACAACCAATGTTATCCTTGGAGAATTTTTGCCATTTCCTGAGAAATGGAACTTCACGCGTAAGTGCTTCATTTAAACTTGTAAAGCTAAACATAGTTAGAATAAAAATACTGTTTAGCATGAAAATGGTAACAACAATTAAATTTGTAAATGAGATTCTAAAAATACGTGATTTATTTTTATGCTAGTTGTTAGAGTAGATGATGCTAGGAATATGAAGTTTAATGATAAAATGCAAGCTAAAATGAGGCAGTAATCAAACCGAGAGGCCTGCTGCCCTGGTATAGGACTGGTCGATGGAGGACCTCGAGGTCGATACTTGGGCTCGATCTCGAGCTATCGGGGGTGGTCGGGAATGGGATAACAATTAAGATATGATTAAACAAGGACTTTTTATGGCCAATATCAGGCAATAGATGAAGAACAAGTAAGAAAGCTATAAATGCTAAAGTGGCCTTAAGCCAGAGAGAACGAACAAGTTAGAAAGAAGAGAGAGAGAGAGATATTATTGATCTTGTGGAGAAATAGTTGGAGCAACATCAGCCCTTTACAAAGTGGCATGGACTCCCCTTGTATAAGAGAGGGGATACAATATAGTACAGAGTGCATTAAATGCAATGACACGGGGATGAGACGGCTAGGCTTGGTGCTAGTGTTTGCTGATTCTAGCTGCTCGCCTCGGGGATCCATCGTCCTTAGAACCTTCGTTGGGTTGCAGACGAATTCCCCATCCCCGGAATCTTTGCTGGGCCATGGACGAACCTCGAAGGAAGGATCTTGATCATAATCTTGTAGCCTCGAGGTGCTGATATGACTCCCCGAATGCACCTTAGCGGCGAGAAATAGACCCCTCTAATTTCACCGTATACAAATACAATACTTGCAATGGGAACTAGAAGCAACAATTAGCAACAAGGAGCAAATAGGTAATAACGTCGTACACTAAGCAGATTGCAGTTTATGTCTAGTGAAACCAAGTAAGGAAGAACAAGTAACAATCCAATAATAAACTGCTCTCACACAAGTCACAAATTACAAATCCTAATAACTTGGCATTTTGTTATCACGACCCAGCCTGATGGTCCACGACAGGCACCCAGTACTTTGCTCAACCGAGTACCAATGTAACATATCTTTCTTATCACACTTTCATTGGCAAATGGGCCAAACGGGATGTCATGGGCTAACTAGAATAAACATAAGGGAATACTCAATATAGGACAACCCAACTTGATTTAAAACTTATACATGTGACATACGAGCCTATAAGACCAACATGATCATTTGTAAATTAAGCATAGGCCGACAAAGCCATACTAGTATCTATATACATGACATCTATCTACAAGCCTCTAAGAGTACATAAGTATCGTAAAGGTCGGGATTGAGCCCCGTCATACCAATCAATACATGTCCTAATTATACTAACCAAATAAGCAACTTCGGAGCAAATGGATTGCACCAACATCTTCCGCTGAATTGATAGCCTACTTGGAGGACTCTCGAGCTATCTATCGGGATCTGCGGGCATAAAACATAGCATCCCCAGGCAAAAGGGACGTCAGTACAAATAATGTGCCAAGTATGTAAGGAATGAAAATCAGTAAATAATAGACATGAGAGAAACATGGAGTAAAAGACTCGACATGTATGTCTAAACAACTCTTCAAATCATTTAATATCATAATGTCATGCATATGTGTATAAATTCCATGCCATGCATAGGTATATGCATTCATAACATCATCAAGCCTCTGAGGGCATCCCATCATATCATCTTGGCCGCTGTGGGCAAAAAAAAAAATAATGTATACCAGCTGATAAGGTGGTGGTGCGTATATAATGCCGTAACCTTTTCCCATATCCCGTATCCCATATACATGTAATATACATATATACACGTATATAACTCCATCTGGTGATGGGTCAATAATGCAATGCATGAGAAGTACGTCAATAAAATCTTTCGAAATGTCATAAGAACATTGTGTCTTTGAATAATATCATGAAATAAACTTTTTCAACTTACGTATTTTCTGAGACACATGAACAG